ATTGCTTTAAGATACAGTAAACATCTCATCACACAGGAATCCCGCGGTCAATGGCGTCTGTCTGGTGGTCACTGCTCCCCCGGCTACTTGATGCTGCCTACCCACACTCTACTGCCTGCCAACACTTTACTGCCTGCCTCACACACTACCGCCTGCCCACACAATGTTATACAGGAGCCTCACGCGATCAGGGGTAGAAATATACACTTAATGAATCATCCGTAGAAGCGAACTCTCTTCCACATACTGCAGTGGTCTATGTCAACACAGTTCTCTCGTGTTGACGTTTAAGAGTTTTCTAATAAATATATAGAACTCAACAAATGATTTATATATATTATCACTAAATACAACAACGACAAATCAACGTATCATCCAGGTTTAATTAATTCCTAGTACCTTGTGGTGTATGTCTGTGCACCTGGTATACGTGGTTCGTTCTCCAGGTAATACTAGTTGATACTGCCCTAGACGTGTCATGGAAAACTGTATTTTTTTTTTATCCCCTGAACTGTTTAATGTTATAACCCTATCACCCTAAACACACTCCCAGGTCACCCTTACTGTTGTTAGCACCTGTCGCTCTACCTGTGTTACCTGTAATTATCTGACTGAATAAACAGGTTAGGTTATACCGATCCTGACCCACCTTCTCCTACCCACTCCCTCCTAACCCACCTTCCCTTACCCACCACTCCTAACCCACCACTCCTGACCCACTTTCCTCACCCACCACTTCCTCCTGACCCACCTTCCCTCACCCACCACTCCTAACCCATTTCCCTTACACACCACTCCTGACCCACTACTATAATGTAACCTAGGAAGTATTATACAGCGGCTGACGTCCTGACCACCTGACCTCCACGAATATTCAAGGTCACAACTCCTGATCAAAAGTAAGTTGCTAATAAAGATCAAGTGTAGGGAATTGCCTCGTTTAGGTACATAACGATTGTGTTTAGCTAGAGAGAGCCATTATGAGTGGACAGGACCATTTTGTTGGGGGTTGTTGGCGCTGCTTCACTAACAATGACCATAAAGGAGTAGCATTAAGGCTATTTTACCAGCTGAGAACGACTAGCTATTGCTATTTAATACACTGCCCCAGCGACCATCACTACCAGCGACCATCACTACCAACGACCATCACTACCAGCGACCATCACTACCAGCGACCATCACTACCAGCGACCATCACTACCAGCGACCATCACTACCAGCGACCATCACTACCAGCGACCATCACTACCAACGACCATCACTACCAACGACCATCACCACCAACGACCACCACCACCGCTACTTGCATGGCACACTTCCCCGAGTTCCTCACCATTTCAGCTGTTGCCGATTAGAATTAAGATTACTTATACTCGAGGGGTGCGGTGGAAAGGGTGGATACAACACCCGCTTTGTGTACCAAGGCTGAAGGGTCGCAGGTTCGCCCCCTACAACCCACACCGTTGTGAAAGGATACTGTACTTCTACCTGACTGTAGCTAAGGAGGTGAGAGCTGTTGGTTGTAGTGGCGCCACACTCTTGGGGGACCAAAAATAAAGAGATACGGTACAGTACTAAATCACTGTTGGTCATCAAGGCAGTTTTAATACCTGAAGTAATACTATGACCGCTGCTGTTGATACACATTCCTTATGGTAGAGCATTGAACTCCGTGTTAGAGAGAGTCGTACACACACACTGAATCATCCATCATAACATTTCACAGACAAGATTCGGTAATGGGTATTCGTCTCGTGTAGCTTACGTGATATTCACTAATTCGTTCTCACTATTTTATAATACTGTGATCAGACTGACTATATCTATAAACACCATTTGATATTACACAATGTTTGCTTATGTTGTGAACTGACAGCGTTCTCGTGTTTGTTGACAGTATGAGGTGAAGATGTTTTGTTTTAATTTCACGATCAGCTGACATCACTGTATTGTTTGTCTAAATCATTAGCTTAGATGTTTACATCTTCAGCTGATAGAGTTGTGTTATTTGTTTACATCATCAGCTGATAGCGTGAAGGTTTACGTTAGCGAGGTTGGTCCGAGCGTTCACGCCAGATATTTTCGGAATGTTTTGGTCAATTTGACGATGACGATATTGTGGTCACTGACTTACTGGGTTTACGGTGAGCGAGTTAATAGGCCGCACTTACTGTAGTAACTGTCCCTTGACTTTATGTATATCATAAATACAACAGTTGCCGCCGGGAGGTGTCACCCTCCAGCACCTCACCGCCGGGAGGTGTCACCCTCCAGCACCTCACCGCCGGGAGGTGTCACCCTCCAGCACCTCACCGCCGAGAGGTGTCACCCTCCAGCACCTCACCGCCGGGAGGTGTCACCCTCCAGCACCTCACCGCCGGGAGGTACAGTAAGTTAAAAGAAACACAACGAGTGTTATCAAGTGCGTGGCCGCTCGCCCGCTAGTGTGTGAGGCCGCCCGCCCGCCCGCTAGTGTGTGAGGCCTCCCGCCCGCTAGTGTGTGAGGCCTCCCGCCCGCTAGTGTGTGAGGCCTCCCGCCTGTTAGTGTGTGAGGCCTCCCGCCTGTTAGTGTGTGAGGCCTCCCGCCCGCTAGTGTGTGAGGCCTCCCGCCTGTTAGTGTGTGAGGCCTCCCGCCCGCTAGTGTGTGAGGCCTCCCGCCTGTTAGTGTGTGAGGTCGCCCACCCGTTAGTGTAGTGGGTTTTTTTGTACTTTATTTACTCGTGGTTTTCCTCTATGTCTTGTGTTACTGGTTGAATCAGTGAACTTTGATTAATATTTGGTGTTTTAAAACATTTGCACCATTTAATGTAAAAATTTTGTGTAAACTTTGTATTCATAATTTATGGTCAATAAAATATCTATCTGTCCATCTATCTATCTATGTATCTATCTCTCTATCTATCTGTGTGGCCGCCCGCTCGCTAGTGTGCATGGCCGCCCGCTCGCTAGTGTGCATGGCCGCCCGCCCACCCCGACACTAACACTTGAGCCCACCCGCCCGCCCACCCGCCTTAATGTGTGTCCCGACCACTACTGTGTGTTTAGTGTTAGTATTACCACATCAGCCTGTGGTAGTGGTGGCAGGGGTGAGTGTGGTGGTGGCAGGGGTGAGTGTGGTGGTGGCAGGGGTGAGTGTGGTGGCAGGGGTGAGTGTGGTGGTGGCGGTGGTGGCAGGGGTGAGTGTGGTGGCAGGGGTGAGTGGTGTGGCAGAGGTGAGTGTGGTGGTGGCAGGGGTGAGTGTGGTGATGGCAGGGGTGAGTGTGGTGGTGGCAGGGGTGAGGTGTGGTGATGGCAGGGGTGGTGTGGTGGCAAGGGTGAGTGTGGTGGTGGCAGGGGAGTGTGTGTGGTGGCAGGGGTGGGTGTGGTGGTGGCAGGGGTGGTGTGGTGGTGGCAGGGGTGAGTGTGGTGATGGCAGGGGTGGGTGTGGTGGTGGCGGGGGTGAGTGTGGTGGTGGCAGGGGTGGGTGTGGTGGTGGCAGGGGTGAGTGTGGTGGTGGCAGGGGGTGAGTGTGGTGGTGGGGGTGAGTGTGGTGATGGCAGGGGTGAGTGTGGTGGTGGCAGGGGTGAGTGTGGTGATGGCAGGGGTGAGTGTGATGGTGGCAGGGGTGAGTGTGATGGTGGCAGGGGTGAGTGTGATGGTGGCAGGGGTGAGTGGTGATGGTAGACACTCCCTCACACACTCTTATATTGGTTAGCGTGTGTGCTGGTAGGGTCACTTCTCCACCAACACGGGTATTCACTCATAAACCGTAAATATACACCCTGTAATGTAGTGTTGTTTGTGTTAGTGTACAGCTGACGTAACGGTACACATTTATACATGGAGGAGCAAAATAGAGCTTCACCTTTACCTGTCAGGTGTACAACAGGTGATGACTTAAGTAGATGATAAGATGATGTTGTTGTTTGTTACAGCTGTTTATCTTCCCCCCAGACGACCTGGCCGATGACCTCGAGATCGACCCTGTGGAGAGTGAGGAGGACGAGGGAGGTTCCCCCGCCGACCGTGTCTCCAGGAGCGGTGAGTGACCAGGGCGGGGCGGGGCGGGGCGGGGCGGGGCGAGGCGAAATATTAGTTAAATTTAAAGGCACTCCGATAGTTTATCCTTTATTTGTCTTGTAATTACATGTAAGTCATCCATGAGCACCACTAAGACAAGAGAGATCACCGAACAATCACTTACTTATTTACTGAAGAACCACTGACCACGCGCACCAACCCAAGATTGACTCAATTACATCTAGTGGTATTTAAGGACGATACTAGAGAAACACGAGGTGGTACCATTACCTGACCGACTGAGGACACACCTGCCTGGTTTATGAAGATGTGCAGCAATAACTTCAACCTATATAGGAACCACTACACCCAACTTTGTATTAAGCTGAACATTTTCACTGTTATGTTATTGAAAAGTGAAGTTCAGCAAGAAGCTTCACCTCCCAGGGACATTAAATATTTGTTTAAAAATGTCTAGCCTGAGTGGTTACCCTGTTGAGGAGAGTTGCCGCGTCACATCTAACACAGAAAAAATTCCTCATCAGGAGTATTTCTAAAAGAGTCAATTGTTTTCTTTCCATCAATAGTTATAATGTGATAAAGTTCTCCTTGACATGGTTGAGAGAACACCCGTCCAACGGTACTTTGACCTCATTAACCACGTACTGTATGGTACTTTGACCTCATTAACCACGTACTGTATGGTACTTTGACCTCATTAACCACGTACTGTATGGTACTTTGACCTCATTAACCACGTACTGTATGGTACTTTGACCTCATTAACCACGTATTGTATGGTACTTTGACCTCATTAACCACGTATTGTATGGTACTTTGACCTCATTAACCACGTACTGTATGGTACTTTGACCTCATTAACCACATATTTTATGGTACTTTGACCTCATTAACCACGTATTGTATGGTACTTTGACCTCATTAACCACGTACTGTATGGTACTTTGACCTCATTAACCACGTACTGTATGGTACTTTGACCTCATTAACCACGTATTGTATGGTACTTTGACCTCATTAACCACGTACTGTATGGTACTTTGACCTCATTAACCACGTATTGTATGGTACTTTGACCTCATTAACCACGTACTGTATGGTACTTTGACCTCATTAACCACGTACTGTATGGTACTTTGACCTCATTAACCACATATTGTATGGTACTTTGACCTCATTAACCACGTACTGTATGGTACTTTGACCTCATTAACCACGTACTGTATGGTACTTTGACCTCATTAACCACGTACTGTATGGTACTTTGACCTCATTAACCACGTATTGTATGGTACTTTGACCTCATTAACCACGTACTGTATGGTACTTTGACCTCATTAACCACGTACTGTATGGTACTTTGACCTCATTAACCACGTACTGTATGGTACTTTGACCTCATTAACCACGTATTGTATGGTACTTTGACAATCATTAACCACGTATTGTATGGTACTTTGACCTCATTAACCACGTACTGTATGGTACTTTGACCTCATTAACCACGTACTGTATGGTACTTTTTACGTGTGATAATGCAATGTTTTGGCTTAGCTCTTGATAATATCACCTACAACAACAACTGCTGCCCACCTGTTGATCAGCTGCGTCTAATGAACTGTGCTAATGAAAGAGGTGTGATGAGTGTAGCAGGTCACACCGTAGACGCTAAACTCTCGCTGCTAGTATACTGAAAATATAGTATTGACGAGAGAGGTTACCACTCGATCAAAAGTTTCCCTGTACTGGCGAATAAGGGCGTACAGTTCCTATTCACCCTCTACTGTTGAGCTAAAATATCCTAAAGTGTTTTACAACGATATTACACAGTTGCTGAGGCTGATAGTTTTATGTCGCTCATGAGGAAAGATTATGCTGACTGAGGCACAGTTGTTAGAGGCGGTCTCTCTCGATGGCGCGGCTTAATATCTCATGCAACACGATCCACAGCTTGAGTTATTAAGGTTTATGGCGCTCATATTATCTAAGTGATGCTGAGTCACTGATTTATATTAGGGTTTCTGAGAAGCTGTGCCTCCACATGGTAACAATATCCGCCTCACCCTAAAGACCAATAATTCCTTTTAATACTGCTGGCGTGTGAGGTGTCAAAGAAGGGAAAAAAGTTTGTGTTGTAACATTATGGTAACTGATTTAACAAAGTATTCGACAACCATTTTTTTATTGTCATCAATTTTCATGTATTTCTTTTTCTCCAGGTGATTATATATGTTTTTTTACACCCTGTACGGCAGGTGATGGTAACGAGGGCGTGGGTGGTGGTGTGGGCGTGGGCGGCAGCAAGTCCAGGAGGCGGCGTACGGCCTTCACGTCGGAGCAGTTAATGGAGCTGGAGCGAGAATTCCAGACCAAAAAGTATCTGACATTGAGCGAGCGGTCACACATCGCCCAGACCCTCAACCTGTCCGAGGTGAGCCACCCCCTGTTCACACACACACACACACACACACACACACACACACACACACACACACTTAATCACTACCAAATCACTACACGGCATCAAACTGTTATGTTTTGTGTGTGTATATGTGTCAGTTTTATTTTATTTGTAAGAAATCGTCCAAAATAATGTATTTTGTCAGAGTTTAAAGATGTCAAGTTGTGTGGGTGACAGAAGTAACTCTCCCCTGCTCCAGTGTCCCTAGCGAGTCATTCTATCCCGCATCAGTAATATATATATACCACAAAAAGGTTCACATAGTCCAAGTAACAACAGTGAAGAGTGAAGTGTAGTTTCCTTCGTATAATTCTAGATGTGTGACAAACTTCCCACTGGGTCTAATTGTAAAACACGTGAGAGTGAACCAAGCAAGTGTGGTTTAAGGGTGTTATTATGGGAGAGTAATTTAAACCTGTTGTGAAGCGCACGTTACTGACACACTTCGTCCACCATCACAGGTTCAGGTGAAAATTTGGTTTCAAAATCGTCGAGCTAAATGGAAGCGCGTGAAGGCTGGTCTGGTGTCTGGGTCGGCGGGCGGGGGTAAGAGCTCCGCGTCCGGCCACAAGATCATCGTTCCCATCCCAGTCCACGTCAACCGCCTCTCCAACCTCTCTCAGTCTCAGCAGATGGAGAAGTCGGCCGCCAACCCCGGTCAGTTCCAGAGCCCACAGGTCTTGTGTCAGTGGCTGAGGGGGAATGCCTTCATGTGTACGGAATATATAGGTAGACATGCACACGGATATATATATTGATAGAGATGTATGAAAAAGTAGACAGATAGATATAGATAGATAGACGTCTAACAGTGATTCACCTTCAGGAGTAGCAGCCGGGGCCGCGGGAGGCATGAACAACAGCAGCGCGGCGCAGCTCCCATCTATCAAGCCTATGGACCCTCAGTCAAGTATTCAGTCACGACGATCAGCCTTTCAAGGTTTACCCCAGTCCCTGTCCGTGTCCCTGGGCCAGAACCTCTCTCAGCCACCTCTTCCCGTGTCGGTGCCACAAACCCTCCCGCAGTCGCTGCCGGTATCCATGTCACAAACTCTCTCTTCGACCCTTCCGCGCCTCAGCCACGTCCCCTCTCTTGCCTTGTGAAGGGCGGCACACAGGTGACAAAGTTGAAAATATCTGTAAGGAGGACTGTTGCTTCCACCGAGAACAGCTGACAGACAAACCCCGCGGATGGACTCATGTTGTGGTCCACTGTATCGGTTGAGTGAGGTGGAATGAAACAGCCTATGTTCTCCTGACAATGTCTGTGGTATGACACACACACACAGGCTTGGAATATATATATATATATATATATATATATATATATATATATATATATATATATATATATATATATATATATATATATATATTAATTCAGAAGTCCACGACTTGGTAAACTGCTTGTAAAGGAAACTTGACCGTTAGACTTGTCAACCACTTTCAGTGTCTGTGTGTGACGCTGCTAACACCTGTTTCTAGGCACTGAGCAAGTGTACATTAGCACCAGTGTCGTAGGCTACTTGTGCAGGTGTCCAGCGGTGCAGGTCTCGCGCGGCCACAAACTCAACTTGTTTACAGATTCCGTCCTAATATTAGCAAGGCGACGAGAGCGCCACAACACTGTGACGGTCAGCTAATACACAGTAGTCTCGTGCAGACACAAGTATTTGTTCTGTTATAATGAATTACCCTAGAACACGTTACTATGTGTTTGAGACGCTCCAGCTCTTAAAGTGAGTATCATACTTGTACTTGGCAACAAAAGATGCTAAAGATCCTTAACCCACCGACCTACAGTACTGTATAGGGTGTAATCATTCGTCTACCAGTAACATGGCGCGTGTCCCAAGGAGCTTCATGGAACACACGCACTGAGGCTAATATGTCAATAATACTGTACAGTACTGTACTGTATTACGAGTATGAGTATTGAGAAGTAAAAGTGATGTTGATAAGGAATGTGAAATTAGAGTTCTCTATAGTCACACTTCTCATACTAAGGATCAGTGTTGTGTATTAGTGGAAAGTCCTACATCAGTTTGTTACCCTGCCTACAGCTAGGTCCTCGCCCCAGCAGTTCATCATACTCGTTAAAGAAGACTATTCGACCATACAAAGGAACTTCTGTTGAGTGAACAGGAGCTGCCCTCACATCCGTAGAAGGTTGAAACAACAGGTCTTGTCTCCCGCGTGTGACACTGACATGGGTGCTGCTTACACTTGTATAACAAATATATATATGTGGTGGATGAGCCATAGTGGGAGTCCGTCGGGGTAAAGCTAGGAGGAGGCAGTGACAGTGAGGAGTCAGCTGTAAGTCTAAACTTGTAAATAATGTGTTAGCCTTGTGTTGTTAACGTTGCTTGTGAAGTATGCAAGTGACTGTGTAGCAGAAGTGTTCCGGTGAGGCCGCCACTTGTCATACTACGAATGTTTGAGTTAAATTGTCAATGTTTTTTAGATTCAGAAAACATTTCTGGTTTCTGTACATAGTGTTTATGTCCTGTACCCCACTTCTCCTTAGTTCACAGGTAAGGCGACACCTGTGAGTACGGCCGACAGTAATGTACATATGTATTATACAGAGTAGAGCTAACTATAATATTATCAGCCAATTTAAAGCCATTGATATATCCCCATGCAAAGAACTGAGTACCCCCGAGTGGTGAGGTGATGTGTCACGATTATCAATACTCATCTGTTGTTGACTCGGGGCCACCATTACACACGGCCATATCCTCTTGTGAATTCTTCCATTTATAAATGTACTCATACAGTACCGTACTATCTTCGTTGCTGAATGTTACATGAGTCAGAACACTGTCCACCAGCAAGTTTATAGATGCCATGAGTAACACGAGAGTTATTAAGTTCCTCCCTCCTCTCCTCGTGTTAGGGCGTGCTACTTTACTGTTCCTTGACGGTGTGAGGCGCAGTAACAGCCCCGGTGTGTATTCTCCACTCTTCCTAATGTAAAAATATAATATTATTGATGGATCAACACCTCCCCATATTGACATTATTCTCATTGTACCGTAGTGTGATCCCCCCCAGAGCTATCACGTGATTCCTCTCTTTTGTCAGATTTAAAAGTAATTTTATCAAAGAATTTATTTGGTTAATGTTCCAGCTTCTACCACGAACTTCCTGACGTGTACAGTGAGTGATGGTGGCGGCCGCGGACTAACGAACGAAATTAAGTTTTTTAATTTTATGTCGGAGTATTTTGGGATGTAGTGGGACAGGTAACTGACTCAGTGATGTTCAGCGACGATTATTGGTAAGTTATGGAGGTGAGCCACGCAGAGTCAGCACATGTTAATATATCAGAGATTGTGTTTTGTACGGCAGCCCCGCCCCGCCCCGCCCCGCCCCTACACTGACCCAGCCAGCCATACGGGGCAACTAATGTTCCTACGTATATATTCAACACCTGATGTAACCAGGGGTGACATGCACACTACTGGCGATATTTATACATATACTACTAATAAAGATACGTTTATGTAACACAGAGTCTTTATTGTCCTGACATAGCTTTACACTACTCGAAAATGAATTCCTCTCAGTATTAATTGAGTAGAGTGAACAGTATGTGTGTTACTATCCAGCTCACTGTATGTCGACAGCTTAACTTGGGAGAAAGAGCCATAATATTCCTAACTATCTTACATATAAGGTCACCATTACGACCCCTATAACTGGATACAACTTTCATAGATCAAGGTCACCAATATTAAGAAAAATGCCATCCTGGGTGAGTTACTTCCTTCTCCGAGTGCAGTCTACAGTACGTCATTACTACGATTATTATTATTATTGGATTACAAGAAGGTTAACTAGCATACTGTATTTTTCCTCATGGTTAAACACTCCAGCGCCACTTGGGGAGGGGTTGAGGTGCCTAATCTTCACTTTGTAGTCTGATGTGTGGAGAATACCAAGAACTTTTTGTGATCGGAAGATTTTACTATGGTTAAACTTTCCTTTAAGCAGAAGCTGTTTGGTGTTGATTATACATGATGGTAATGAGTTGTTGATGGTGATGGTGATAATGATGGTGATGGTGATAATGATGGTGATGGTGACGATACTTATAATGATGGTGACGATAATGATAATGATGGTGACGATAATGATAATGATGGTGACGATACTTATAATGATGGTGACGATAATGATAATGATGGTGACGATACTTATAATGATGGTGACGATACTGATAATGATGGTGACGATAATGATAATGATGGTGACGATACTTATAATGATGGTGACGATAATGATGCTGAAATGAAGCTGACGGTGATAAAAGATGATGATTGTAATGATGTCGTTGATGATGATAATAAGGATAATGATTTTATGGAAGATGATGACAATGATAATGACATGGATAATGATGCGGATGATGGAAATAAGAATGAGGTGGGCCATGGCCTTCACCTGGGGTTCTCAGTCACCAGGTGGGCAGGTCACAGGTGTACAGTTGAGTCAGTCAGGGAACGGCACCGTCAGTTCTGGTCTGGACGGAGTTACAACTTTCTTTAATTATATTTCTTGATCCAAGTCTAATGTATGTATTGAAATTCAGTGGATATGGTGAGTGTGAAAGAATGTGTAATTTCCTCCCGTAATAGAGATGACATAATGTTACTATTCTGGGGAGTTTATCATTAGCGTTACTTCCTTCCATCACCTGTGATTTTCCCTCACTGACTCACTTAACCATTTCCTCCTCCTCCAGGCTCTCACCCCAGGGCCTTGCTTCCCCCTTAAAACTCTTAAAAAGGTTACTACAGTATATAATTTTCTTTACCCAAAATAGACGTGTGAACATAACTTACTGACTCAGTTAAGCTACGACAAAGCCACGCCCCCCATCTGTTGTCTGCTCACGTGCAACTGGGCGGAGCTTGATGACGTCACACTACTGTACATATATAACTTTAAGAATGAAATGTGTGATCACTTGTTCATATAATTCTAGTTAAGGAAAAGGTACTGATAGACTTACAATAAACAAGTGAAATAATACCATTGAATAAAAATATGTAAAGCCATTCCTGTGATTTTTTTATTCGAGAACCCTAAATAATTCCCATGCACTAAAAACTATATGTTATGAACCTAATATTTTGAGTAAATGTATCCTAATGTTACAGAGAAACGTATTGTAACGACCCTCCTCCTTTCGCCGCTTCCCAGCTTCCACCACTGGTTACCAGTGGCCAGGGTCATATGTACATGCACAAGATATATGACAGGTCGTATGTATAGAAGCAGTAGATGTATCACAAGTGTTGTTTTATTACCACTGACTGTCCCGCCAGTCTCCGGTAATTCCCCGACGATCGGTACAGTGTACAGACAAACAACAGGCCGGTAGAAACACACTTGTGCACTGTAGTCTCCTTTAATAAACACTGATTCTTCACAACACTGTTCACAGGGTACGTCCTCACAGCTGGACTTCTCGCTTCCAATATACAGTCAGCACACTACCAGTGGACAATTCCTTAGTCTTTTCACTTTATATTGGTAACGACAATTCCACAATACCTGAACAACAATTATCTTTGGTTATCACTAGGCTTGTACTTCACACTGTGAACAGAAACGATGGACTGACTTCATAGGCAGCTTGCGGGTGTTTAGAACTGTATAATTATACGTCTGTCAGCTGCCTTGAGCATTCTAGAGACTCCAGGCGTTGCAGGTCGGAACGATATACGCCTGGAGAGGTCTAGAATGATGTAGGCTTACAATACGTAAGTTAATAAAAAAAATGATGCAATACATTCTTTAAAATTCTTACAAAAGTAATACATCAGTATATACAAGAAACACAACGCTTCCGTGACGCCTGCTGGACCACCACTCCACGACCCCCTGACGGAGACACAATGATCCTCCCCATACTGGCCAGATATTATGTAAATAATATTGATTATGTGTTAAAGGAATATCCTTCCTTCCTTAGGCTTTAGTAAGCCCCTTTATAATATTCATACTGTATATACTTGTGACACTTGCCAGATGCTTCTGGTGTCATTGTACAGGGGTACCTAGTGACAGCACTAGGATCCCGCTTCCTCTATCAAGGAATAAACAATTGAAATTGAAATTGAATATACAAGAAAATCTTCCTAAACTTGCCAAAGTAACTGCTGCTTGGAATAGAAAATAATCAAAACACCTCAGTCACGTCACTGTTGAAGAACGCTTGATTCTCGCCGAACATTACATCAAGAATGCATCCTTTAGGGAGTGTCAAATTGCATTTAGAAGTCGCTTTGGTGGTCGTACGAAACCTTCGAAATCAGTGATATGGAAACTGGTGAAGCAGTTCAGAGAAACAGGGTGCGCGAAAGTTAAAAACACATGAGGTATTGTTACGCCAGAGAAAGTGGCTGAAGTGCGGAGAAGAATGGAAGCAACACCGAAAAAAATTATAAGACGCTTAACACAACAAGCTCACTGTTCGTATTCAAGTGCAAGGAAGGCGGCCAAGACATTCAAACTTTATTCCTACAAAATTCATGCAGTGCATCAGTTACTGGAGCCAGATAGAGAAACACGAGGCGTACTGTGAGTGGCTGCAGAGGTTAGTGCAACATGGCGCTGGACACTGTCAACACTTCATTTAAGGTTAATCAATCGTGTGGATCATGTTACGTCTTGCTGTCACGTTGGGCAACATTTCCGCAAAATATGGTAAATTTTCACTTGTTGCCACTAAACGAAATCGAAGTTGAAATTATGTTTTTCCGATGGTTTTTGATGTGTTATGGACGAATTTGACCTTCAATTCTGGCGCAAATCACTAGTTTCCGACGTTAGCCCCCCCCCCGTTTCAATTTGGAGATTCGCTATAAAAATCAAGGTAAAAAGTGTTCAGAGATATAAAAAACCAAAAAAACAGTTTTGAATCTAATCTAACTTAACCTAACCAATCAAACTTAACTCAACCTAACTTAACTTAGGGGGGAGGGGGGGGGGGAGGCTCCACAGTCGTTCGTTGTTCTGGGTGTGTACCGCCACGCACGAATATACATAATAAAATGTTAAATATCTCGCGCCAGAAATTCCATTGAAGAAAAGTGTTATAGAATTGTCCAAACTACCGATTGCAACTACTGTACACAATTCCATAGGTTCGTTTAGTGGCAACAAGTGAAATTATATCCGAAATATTAGGCTCCTAACTTAATAGTTTTTAGTGTATGAGAATTATTTAAAGTTCTCGAAATATTAGATCACCCCGTACAATCATCCAACACACCATTACTTTAACAATTTTGAGATTTTGTTCACAACCTTTCTTGATGCACCACTAGTATGTCTTAACTCGCGAATTCTGAAAAAAAAAATCACGCGGCAGTGAACAAAATATGTGATAAACTCGATAAGTAATGAAACAAACTCAGCAATATTTCATGACAGTATGTTCTTGGCTCCTTACCAGGTTTCAATAAATGGTATTATAGGCATTTTTAGAATGCCGTGTTCTCAATTTTTATATCGATAATTTTTAAATGTCACGTGGCAAGGTGGCAAAGCCTTGATGAATGATTTGTCATATTTTTAGTCCGACATTTTTCAACTATCAATATGTGGATGTTTCTTGCATACATGAATGTGGAATCTCTTGTTCACCTTCTCATTCTTGGGAAACTTGTGAAAAGTAATATTTCCCTTGTGTTTATAGCTTGAGCAGCAACCATACACTGTACATTTACGAGGCATGGTCTCTCACGTTTATAATACACTCTAAACTTCACTATTATAACCAGTTATTAAGACAATAAAGGAAACACGTGCACGTCTGTATACTTTTAATGTGTGTGTACTGAGCTGGGTCAGGGGAACGTGTATAACGTCATGCGCAGGAGTGGTCGAGATTTTTCCCTTGATGAGCTGATTTTGCATTTCTTTGACAATGGTTGGTATAACACTAGGGCACCCCAAGCTCACCTAGCTGTAATGGGTAAAAGATTGAAAGCTGCCTCCATATACACTAATAATGGTTTCCCATTATGTTCGAGGATGGCTGGCCCTATAGGGCGTCTTATAGGCATGAATTTGTATCCACATTGTCTCTAACAGGCTAAGGGGAACACCTTTGACCCTTCATCCCACCATGGTGTCAGTTATTATGGCTCCTCTAAATCCTCAGTGATGACACTTCGCCCCGGACCTCCGAGTGACCATCAACTACTTAACTTATTAACCAGTCAGCGGCGACACTGTTAAGACAGCAAAACGTGCAGCAGTTCCAGTGTTAACCTGCATCGACATTTCTTAAGTCCGGGACTGATATAAATGGACAAGAAACTAATATATTCGGTAAAATTATCTTCTAGATCATCCAGCGAATTTTGGGATATTAGTTTTGGAATGAGTAGTTTAGACAATTCTAAGACACTATTCTTCTATAGTGTTTCCGTTGGATATGTTATATTTTTAGAGTATTTTAATCGATAAAATTACCAACAATAATAATTCTT